CACACGTCATGTTATAAAAGGAATGCCGTACTACTTTCCACTGAACTATCGCGAGAATGTTTACGAAGTATTGACATTATTAATCGCATATTTGTTACGAAGGGGAAGCTGGGCTGTTCTCTATTGGCTAACTGTAGCTATTCCGGATCGAAAAAAGTATCTCGGTTCAAAATTGTCAGATTTTTCTACAAGATCCGAATTTGGAATAAAACGTAGATAATCCCATTTAAAACTTCGAAGTCACAGAGTTTTCTACATTTTCATATGTTTGGATTCATACCAAAACTACATAACTAGAAGTTCTTAACAGATCTGAGATCACTCGTTAACTTTAAGGAAAATTGGTTAAACGTAACTTTTTTTTCTAACGGGCAGTTAACACCTCCTAATGTCTCGTTAGTGTAATAACGTGCATCGGTGAATTCATTCGTTAGAACTTTTTTGTCAGAGTTTTCGACAAGCCCAGAATAGAGTTTCCATTTATTTTTTGGACTTTGTTCTTTCTCCATCCATTGTGCAATTAGTTAATTTTACTTTCGTATTCTAATTGTCTAAGACTATTGACTACTTAAGTCACTAGTCCCGTTTCACATACATTACAAATAAGCATAAGAAGATTCTATTTTAGTTGACCTGAACCTTGGTTATCGAGGACAATACAATACTCGTTATCGTAGACAATACAACGACCTGAAAAACAATGCCATCCTGGAAAAGAATATATCACATCAGTGCAACAAATTCCAATAGTAGTCAACTCGAAAAAAATTATCGGCCATACATCATAATCGAAGAAGTATCTTCTGAGGTGAAGCTAGTGGACCCGGAATGGAGACCTTAGTGATTATCTCATGCCATTCAGTTTCACTTGTGGTAACAAAGGGCGTGTCCTGGGTGGGCTACAACTGGAAGCTGCGACACGTGATTGCGTGCTTCAGCTTCATGCTTGTTACTTGATATTCCGCGGGGCAAAGCGCGTTGGGTTCTACGTAGGCGACAGGAAGCGCGCCACTGTCACAACCCCTCAGCATCCTGATACCCGCCGTGCCGCGTGGAAAAGCGATCAGTTTCATTAGCCGCTTGCGCTTTGCCGCTGTCGAAAGGATCTCGTATGTTATTAGGCGAATTGCGAGGCGGGCGTTAGCGAGGCGGGCCTTCGAAGAGTGGGGCTTCCAACAACGTACGTGGCATTGAAGGGTGCGAAGACTGCATTACGATACTTAGAGACAGTGGAAAATGTAGAATCAAGTATGGAGGGAGCTCGAACTCTAGAGAAGAATCTGGAGAAATTACAAAGGAAAAATGTGAGAAGCAAACAATTGAAAATAATGTTTTCAGGGCAAATAATTACAATTCTCAATTTCTGCTGTTAATGTATTTTATTATATATGTAGTAAAGACCCGTAATGCTGCGGAAAAACGATTTCGAGAAATACACGTTTTGGGGGACCCTGATTTAACTAAAGTGTTTTTGTTAAAACGTACATTTGCCTGTTTCTCTCTCTCTCTCTCTCTCTCTCTCTCTCTCTCTCTCTCTCTCTCTCTGTGAACAACACTAGTGAATCGTAGGAACTTTACCGAAGTGAATATTTCTTGGTCACTCTGAGTCGACTCTAAACCTCGAAATATTTTGAATACATTCTTTAAATAACTCTACATTAAGTCCTTGAGACACTAACACATACTGAGTGGATTATTACTAAATTTTAATGTTAAAATAACTTTGCATTGTTTCTACGAAAATGAATGGCATTAGATACATAGATTCAATACTACAAAGCACATTTAAAGCCGAAATGTGCATACAAAGCTTTAGAAATATTATCAGTTTTATCAAATTATTACATTTCAGAATCGCTACGCGTTTAAAAAACTAGTATGGTCAAGTGGTTTTATCTTGTGAGAAACCGACTCACGGCCGACAGGCCATAGTACGTGGGCACTAAGGGGAGAATCCTCTGAAGACGATATCTGAGAAATAAGTGTTATTTTTCAGACAGCGTCCGTTCGTCTGCCTCTCTCTTAACGCTCATTTATTTGTACGTAATTTTTCAAAAATACATATTGCCCGCTCTATGTCGCGGTAACTAAAACCTAAAAAGGTATTTTAACAACATCCGTCTGTCAGGTCCAGATTGTGTCCGTTTGATGTCATCCCATGTCAGGTATTCTGGAAGATCAGTCTCAAGTCAGCCGAAGTGAATCTGTCAAGCAGCCAGTCATCGAGCACTAGCGCATAAACTATTCTAGGCGTTTTGGATCATATGAGTAATTAATCCCTCAATTGTAAAATATTATTTGCAAATGTCGGAAGAACGCTCTATAATGACGAAGCCTGTACATATAAAACATTACTTTTTGTAAGAAGAGAGTATTGTACTCTCTTTTAGACAGCCTAAGTTCGATTTGCATGTTTAATTTGAAATTTAGAAATTTTAAAAGTGGAATTTTTGGTACCACGCGTACATCATAAGAAGAGATCTTCTGACGAAAATTCGTCGCGATTTGCGGCGCACGGTTACAATATTCTCGTCTTACGAAGTAAGGGAGAAATACCAAATTGATTGACGGCGAATGCTCTGAGTGTGTAGCCATCGCTAGGCGTCTAACCTTTTCACTCATTTTCTAAAAAAACGATACTCTCCATCGATACGATCTCAATGCCCGAGTTTGAAACGGAATTTTTTAATTTTGAGAGGTCTATACATGAAGATTAAACATTTTTCTTATAAATGGCTTGAAAGTTTAGATTAAGTTTGTCCTCGGTAACTTCATCTTCTAAAGAAATGGCGCAGGGTCAATTTCATATGTCGATAAATTCGTTTTTGTTTTGTTTGAGAATTACAAAAGTTCAAATATTTTTCGCCGTCTTCCTACAATTTCAGTACTGAATAGAAAATTTTTTCTTAGTAAAATCTGACATCAAAACAAATCTTCAAATAAGATTATGTTCAGTTTTTAAAAAATAGAAATAGTTTTGGTGTAATTTTGAGTGGAATAGAGGCAATTTTGAAACAGTTATTTTTCACTAACGATTTTTGCTTTTAATTTATTTCCTCGTATTTAGTAAGGAAATTGGGGCTAATCCAGTTTTCGGCGAAAACAGTTATTTTTGAAAATCGAAAATGAAATAAAAAAATAGGCAAAAATTTAATTTTGATAAGAGTTTTTTGTTATATGAAATCTGTTCTAAAAATAGGTTGTTTAGAAAAGGGGAGTATTTGAGCGTAATTTTGCAAATTTTCGAATTGTGAATTTGAATTTCTTGGATTCCGCTTGCAAGCATTCGGGAAATGTCACAATGGAACAAGGCAATAATGACATTACGATCACGAGAAGGCAGTTGGATATTGTGAGAATTCCTTCTCATTGTATAAGGAATCACATGTTATAGCTGTATAAACGCAGTATTAATTGATAAACATATTAGCGTAAAAAGAAAGGTTAACCGAACCGCCTTTATTACTAGTAAATATTAAGGAAAATACGCTCACGATGATGGCACCTGCCACGCAGTCTCCCATTCCAGGCGTCATACACATTTTCTACGACCCGTAAATGTAGAGGGCCCTAGAAGTGAAGAAAAGAATGCAAAAATGGCTACAGACAGGAGTCCTATCCTCCTGAAAACACGAAGCAGGTGTTCCTGCAGTACAAGGGTTACATAAATTGTTTTTCTACCTAATGTTCTACGAATTGTAATGAGTAGAGACAGGATTTCCATGCAAATGGAAAGGTTTTTATTTTAGCTTTGTAAAGCTTCTAACTTTATAAATATATCTTCCTTGGCAAATTCATTTTAAATATGCATACTTTCTCTGTGAACGTTTGCATGCTTTGCTAGTATGGGACTCTGATTTTTTGCCTGAATGTATTGCGAAATAACAAAAGACATTTAGAATGACGAGAGTACGAGAATCTCTTATTCCGCGCGCTCTGCTTACCTGGAAGAGAATGTCTTCCTGGATTGCAGGACTTGTAATGAGAACGATTCATCAGGTCTACTCCGGCGAGTTAGAAGGCACGCCAATTTGACACAGTTTCCACTGCGCATTATCACTTTTATTTTCAAACAAGATAATTTTAACAATTGAAATATGGTTCACAAAATTTGCATCAAAACACTTCTACTTATTTTAAAAAGTTACTTGGTAATAATCTACTTACAAAATCTACTTTTTTTCATGCTGTTACAATGTGTGCTTTCATCATTTTTTCATCTGAAAATAATAACAAAAAATACAGTTAGTCCGCAAATCTTGTAATATTTCTTAATTTTATTGTTTCTTAGATGTTTAAAACATAGTAGTTAGTGTTAAAGAAGTTTAGGGACTCACTATGCATTCATATTTTGAAATTTCAAAAAATAATTCGGTGAATATATGACTTCCTCTTTCAATATTAGATTAAAATCAAATTAATTTACTTAATCATTTTCTACTCTTTTAGAAATTGTAGAGTAAATTACTGATTGCATGAAGTGATCCTTTCGTGTTTCATTAAAATAAAAGAATTATGTGCCATCACCTAACTATTGCTCAAATAAATGTTGTAATGAATGATGGATATTTTGAAGCAGCGATAACGAGTATTATTAAATTCGTATAGAAAACCTTCTTCTACTCCCAAATTATGAGCAAATACTGGGATTTGTATTCTTTTGAAATGGTACGAAAAATAACTTGCTTACTTCGTGACGTAATGCTAATTACGGTTTTGTTGTCTTATTAATGCTCTTTTGGTTATATTCTTAGTCAGTTGTATTCGATTTTGCCCAATCAGGATAGGTAGTCAAAGTCGTATATATTAAGGCACCGTATGTTGGAAAAGTACAAACAACGATAGCCAAAGTTATTACAGTTGGCAGAATACCAGAGATCATCTGAAACATAAATGAAATATATAGCCAGAACACGTGTATAAAACTAGAAAAGGTAAGTATAAATGTGAATAGCAGTATACATGTACATTTTAGGAAATAACTTTTCTTTCATGCATACCATGTCAGTGGTGCGGATGTTCACGTAGCCGGCGACGAGGGCGTTCGGCGGGGTGCCCACGGGCAACATGAAGGCGAATGAACAGCAGACCGCAGCAGGCAGCATGAGATACGTGGGATTGATTTGAATGACGACAGCCTGAAAAATAAGTGGTTACGACGGCTATGATCACTTGTGAGAAACACAACGCTAAACACACTCTCCGCTATCTCCTACTTCTGATAGATACTAACATAAGTTCCGGCTTACAGGTCTTTATTCTCATTCATATTTCACCCTCCTGTTACTTATCTTTTCCCTCTAGAAATTCAACGGACTGAACGCGCTCGTTTTAATATGGTATTTGACTTAGCGTATTCGGCTGGAGGGGTTAATATATATCTCGCGTCGAACATGTCTCAATTGCATAATCTTAAAAAAAATGTTTCGCTTTCAGGTCGGTGCACTTATATTTATTTGGCAACACTTCTGAATTATTACAAGTCTATTGTGATTGCCTTCTTAAAGTGATTCTGTTAATCTAATTACTTTTAAGTGTCACATATAAAAGCGACAGGTCTAAATACAAATTTATTTCATGTCTGGGGATTTTAATGGCTAGTGGAAGTGTTTAAAATCAGAATAGTGTTCCTGGAGCCACTCTATAGCAATTTTGGACGTGTGGACTGTCGCTCTATCCTACTGGAATTGCCCAAGGTCCTCGGGAGGCACAATAGACATGCATTGGTGCAAGTTATCAGATAGGATGATTATGCACATGTCACATGTCAGTCGTATTTAGACGTATTAGGGTTCGCAGATCATTTCAAATGCACACACCCTATATCATAGAGCCTCCTCCAGCTGACCAGTCCTCTGTTGACACGCAGGGTCTATGGATTCATGAGGTCGTCGCCATACTCGAACACGTTCATCCGCTCGAAACAATGTGAAACGAGACGCGCCAGACCAGGCAGCATGTTTCCAGTAATCAACAGTTCATTGTCGGTGTAGATAGGCCCAGGCGAGGCGTAAAGCTTTGTGTCGCGCAGTCATCAAGTGTACACGATTGGGCCTTCTGCTTCTAAACCATATATCGATAATGTCAGATTGAATGGTTCTCACGCTGACACTTGTTGATGGTGCAGCAGTGAAATCCACAGCAATTCGCGGAAAGGTTGCACTTGTGTCAAGTGTAATAATTCTCCTCAGTCGTCGTCGGTCCGTTCTTGCGCGATCTTTTTGCAGCCGCAGCGATGCCGGAGGTTTCATGTTTAACCGATTCCCGATATTCACGGTACACTCGTGAAATGGTTGTACGGAAAAATCCAAATTTCATCGCGACCACGGAGACGGGATGCCCCATCTCTCTTGTGCCGACTATAACATCACGTTCAAACTCACTTGAATTGTGATAACATGCCATTGTAGCAGCAGTAACAGATCTAACAAATGTGCAGACTCTGGTCGTCTTATATAGCTGACCGGAGGACCATATTCTGATTGATTCCAGATATCTTTATTTCAATACGCATGGCTGTACCACTTGTTTTGGCTCTTCAGTGTAGCATCTTATCCAGTAAGGCGTTTTTCTAGCTTAATTTCAATATGGGATCCATTTGCAAGAAATTTTTGATTTTGGAAGTGTTCTTGTTTATCTTTTTTATTATCACAGTTAAAAAGATATTACTGCAAGGTGTAAGGATGGCACCTTTCTATTGTATTACGAAGAGCTCTAATAACATGATACTTACATGTCCTAATAACTGCCAATTCATTGGTTCTGCTACGTTTGTTTATAAATAATTGGCAAATGTAAAGCCCGGAGAGATTTCTACTTCTTCGGTTTTGCCAACTGATTCCATTGCCGTTCTCTCTTACATCAGCCTACCTCCTCATCAACATCCTCATCTGATCTACTATTCTCCAGGTCAACTGCCGTTAAGCAAGGTGAGCCGAGAGTAATGCAAAAACTATATACAAGTACATTCGTCGAAGCCTAATTCAAGAGTTGAATAGCGTATGCGAACGCATACGTACCATATCTGAGATCACTGGTAAAAGTATATTAGCGACAGCAACATTGGAGGTGAACTCCGTCATATTGCTCGCGATGAAGCAAACCAGCAGGAGCACGAACCAGGGATCGAGCTTTTGTAGGATTTGCAGGGCGCCCCCGATCATATGGGACATCCCGGACACGTCGCTCCCCTTGGCCAAGGCGAAGCCCGAACCTGCAGGAGCGACAGCTGCAGACTGCGTTGCTATTGACACCCGACTCCAGCACACTGGCAACCAGTAGGTACGTACCCAGTAGGAACATGAGGTCCCATGGAAATTTCAGCACCACCTCCTTCCAAACCAGAATCGCGTTTTCCTGTCGACTTGGTCTTTTCTCCGCTGTGAAAAAAGCAAGTAATGTCTATTTCTGTTTGATGTTGAAAGTGTCTCCGTTTCAATGCAGGAAAGAAATCTAGACGCAGAATGCTTTGTCTTTGGTGTGATTTTCACGAGTTTTACTGGGAAGCTATTGAAGTTTTGGAGCTAAACGTGTTGGTTAGGTGCTTAGTTGTCTGGCTAAACGCACATTAAATTGTCATACATTTTGTTACGTATGCCAGGCTGTTAAGGTGCGAGTTTACACAATGGCAAAATTGCTATTGGGAACGGAATTTGGAATGTTGTGATACTAGTAAGCTAGTAAAAGCGTCTTTTTCAGGCATGAGCAGTGCGCTAAAAGTTGCGGTATTGGATCCATAGTTCTAAATACTATATTCTACGATATTATAAATACTATTATATTTATCGTGCTGACGATGCTCCATGCTACTTCCTTTTTGTATGAATTAATACCTACTTCGTTAACATTGTTACAACTTTTCTATTATATTGACTCTAATCATCCAATTTAACTCGATTTCTTTTTACTTTCTCGTATACGTTAGAATAGACGAAGTAATAAACGTTCTTCAGAGAAAGTTATGTAGTGCTGTGGAAAATACATGTTTTGAAGCCCCCGTTTTCATGCCGAAGAAGTGTCGTTTTTTTCCAATGTCCATCTGCCTGCCTTGCTGTCTGTCAAATATCACAGCGCCTAATCATATACAGTTGTATTTTGTTGGAAACTGAATACTCCCCGATCGATCTGCCCACTAGTATCTCTGAATTTTGAATGTTATTCTTTAATTTTTGGGAGTACTTTACATGACTTAGGACATTTAAAATAATTTCTCAAAATTCTTCTTAAATTTCTGAAAGAAGATAGGCAAAATACAGACAGAAGATAGCATATTTTAAGATGGGATAGGTCCGATTTTCACTGTTAACTTTGTGTCACTGTTACCTCCCCGAATATGCTAGAGAGAACCGGATAAGAATTGTGTCAAATGATCTTCCTTGTCGAGAGGAATAAATGAGATATCGATCACCTCTACAGGGGCTGTGAAGCACACAAAAAGCGATTTAGTGACCTAAAAACAGAAAAACAAACTTTTTGAGAGAACTTTCTTAGAATACGCTGGATCCGCCAAAAAAAAGTTTAGTTCCCCACTATTTTTACCCATGCGTAAAATGTCTACTTTATAGTTTTTCCTATGGTTGTGTATCGAATTCATGTTTTCTGGGTCCTGGATACCAAAGAAATGGTTTACGGCAATCCGTCTGTCTGTCCGTCCATCTACAAACTACCATGGCGCGTAAATCACAAGATTTCATCAAAATGTATATTCCCCAATCGATCGATGTCAAGCCCTCAAATTTCAAACACCCTGCTGAATGTTTTGGGATACTTTAAGCCCAACGACATTTTCAATCCCCCCCCAAATGGCTTGAAATTATTATATTTGACGAATATTTACAATCTATTTCAAATGTGAAATAATAAGTAAATATTATAAATCGTGAATAACAATAGCAAATGAAATAAAATTAAGTCACCCATAGGCACTTTTCTTGGCATCCTTTTTAAATCTATTATAAAAAGATCATTAATACATTACATTGTTAAGAGTTTTGAGGGTTACATGAACATGTTAAAGCAAAATATGAGACCATGTTGAGATAAATGCTAATTATTAAGGAGAAAACATTCCATTTTTGCAATTATTAAAATTTTAGAGTTAACAGTGAAAATCAGACCTATGCCACATTTATAGGTAGACTTTGTTCGTACAAAAAAATCAAGAAAAAAAATGGAGCTGTTTTAAAAAAAAAATTATGTAAGGTACTCCCAAATTTTAAAGAAATGTTTTTCAAAACCTCAATGCTTCACACTCGAGCCAGAACGTCTCATTTGGTGTACAAATCGTTTTCGCCTGACCCCTTGCGGGGTCTCTTCGAACAATGGGCTTCCAGTGGGTTGTTGTTTCGTTTTTTTGACTCCTCTCCCCCGTACGGGACGGGGATCGGGAGTCTGGGTTGTTGGCGGAAGGGTTAATTTTTCTATGGAGAGAGGAGTTATTTTATTAAGGTGTTGGATGGCGGGGGAGGGAGGGGGCAGGACCGGGATATGAGGGGATAGGGTGGGGAGAGAGGGAAGAGTTGAACAAGGATTTAGTCAGAGGAGGCGGCGGAGTTTTGTTGTCGACGAAATGTACAGCGTGTCAGTCATTCTCTCAATTCGTTGTCTGTTTAATTTGTCGTTGCTTGTTCTTGCCCTGTGGCTTGGGCGAAGGGAGGGAGAAGTTGGAGGATGTTTAAGGGATGCTTTTTCCGGGTGTGACGGGGTGGGTTTCTGAGGATGTGGTGGTGAGGAAGGATTAGGTTTCGAAATAGAGGGTTGTTGATGTATTTTTTAATTTGGACTATTGCGGAGTTGTGGAGGTGTGTGAGGATGTGGGGTATTTTGTTTTGATGTCATATGGAGTTGTAAAAGGTGTACATGGATGGGCGGAAGATGAGGCGGAGTTATGGTTTTCAACCTGGGTTAGTGTGGTGCGGTTGGTGTGGAATGTAGCGAACAAAGTGGGATGGGCATATGTTAGGATGGGACGGATATAAATTTGGATTTTTCTCTTGGTGGATATTTGGGGATTGGTGAAGATGGGATATAAGATATTGGTGATCCTGGTTGCTTTGACAGTAATTTTGTGGATGTGGTTGGTCCAAATGAGTCTGCGGGAGAAGGTTATGCCAAGGTAGAATATTTCTGGTGTCCAGGGGATTGGTTCATTTCCAATGGTTATGGCAGGGGGGTTGGATGAGTATGTTTTATAGGATAACATGATTGCTTGGGATTTGGATGGGTTTATGATAATGGAGTTTTGGGAAGCCCAGAGGTGGAAGTTTAGGGATTCTTGGAGGTAGGATAAGGATCGGTTTAGGAAGCGGAGGGCAAGGTCATCGGAGTAAAGGAAAGTTTGTACTCTTGGTGTTGGTGGAATATCATTTATATAAATGGAAAAGGGATTAGGGGTAGCACAGCGCCCTGTGGGACGCCGGATTGAATTCGGTAATTGGGAGAGGTTTTTGATAGGTGTGGGATGTGGAAGGAGCGATGATTTAAATAGCTTTGTTGTAGGGTGTGAATATGATCGATGATATCGGGTCGGATTTTCATGAGAAGGATTGGATGGGAGACGATGTCGTACGCTTGGGTGAGGTCTGTGAAAATGGCAGGTATTTCTTTTCTCTCTTGCAGTGGGGTGGCGATGGCTAGGGAAGGGTTTAAAGTTTGGAGGGCCGCCGAGCGACGTTCACGGACAGGAAATTGTGTGGAGGTAATGATGGGATCGAGGAGAGGTGTTAGACAAAGAAGAAGTGTCTTTTCGAATAACTTACCAAGGATGGGTAGTAGGCTGATGGGACATGTTTAGATGGGAGCCGATGATCCTTGCCAGGTTTGGGGATCATGGTAACGCGAGCGAACTTCCAGATGGTGGGGAAGTAGGACAGTCTTAGGCAGGAGTTGAGGATTAGGGTAATCAGGTCTATTGCATTTTTTGTTAGGTGGGTGAGTTGAGAAGGGAGGACTTCATCGGGTCCGGGCGATTTGTTACAGTCTATCGTCTTAAGTATCTGTTTAACTTCTGCGTCGTTCGTCTCCAGGCCTGTTGTTGGTAAGGTGGTAGAGGTGGAGTTTCAAGGACATTCCAATTCCATGTCTGGGATTGGGATGTACGGGGGAGGAAGCGTTCGGCCAGGGATGGTCGAAGGTATTGGTGATGGGGGTGATGATGGTTTGGGGTTAAAGTATTGTTGGTGGTTAGGATAGGGGAAATGGGAGTGGGATGGTTTCTGATTGCTTTTATGACTTTATGGATATTATTGGGGCTGCTTTTGCCAGATAGTAGGTCGTCATACTTATGCGTCTCGTGATGTTTAAGTAGGTTGTGTATTGTTTTTTGCGTTCTTTTTCGTTCTCGTTTGTCGTCGTCTCGTCTGAATTTGTAGTATCGTCGTTGAATTCGTCGTTTATGTCATATGATCATAAGGATTTCGTCAGTGAAGGTGGGGTGTGTATTTCTGGAGTAGAATGTGGTTTTCCGATATGTTTGTTTTATGTGGTAGGTGAGGTTATCTATGGAGTTGTCTATGGATTGGGTGGTCAGAGGGAAAGTGTATTTTCTTAGATAGTATGTGTTTAAATTTTTTCCAGTCGGTTTTTGGTATTGATGGGGGTTTAAGAAGCATGTAGTTGGGGTTGAGGAGCTGATGAAAAGTATTAGGAGATGGTCAGATAGGTAGTACAGGTCGTATTTTGGGTGGGAGGTGGTTATTAGTATTTGGGAGGATAATATCCAGGAATGGAGGATAATATCCAGGATATCGTGAAAAATATGTCGAAGAAGGTGGGTAGGTTCAGTAGGCACTTTTATTTGGATTTGGGGGTTTGTGTCTATGAAATGTTCTAGTCGTAAGCCGGTCTCGTTACTAGTCATGCAGCCCCATGAGGTTGATTTACTGTTGAGGTCGCCTGCAATAATGAAGGGGAAATTTTGGGAGGGGGAGCTATTATTTGGATTTCAACTAATTTTATTCCTGCTGGAATGAGTTTAGTGATGGTGTCCTCTAGGCCTTTGAGGATTTTGAGGAGGGGTTTTAAGAAGGGGATTATCTTTTTCACTGTGGGATTTTGGAGAAGGGAGAGGAGGTCTTTTATGCCTTGGGTAGTTGACTGAGTAGCTGTTGTTGGGTTGTGCTTTGTTGTGTTTTGGCTTGTTGTGGCAAAGAGGCGTAAGATTGGTTTTGGGGTCTAAGGGGGGGGGGGAGTAAGTTGGTTTTTGGGGGATGGATGGCCTAATGTTATGGTCATCTTACTCGTGCATGTCGTCGTTCTATGGCTTTCTCTGGAGAAGGGGCATTGTGAGTCGTAACGCACGGTGATTTAGGGTGCAGTTGATGCATTTTGGGGTGAATCGTTTGTCAGATGTGTGGGAGGGACAGTCTTCAGTTGGATGGGAACCAGTGCAGAGGGCGAGCCAGAAGGACATGTGTTTCTTCAATTTGGAGAAAATCCTACCCCAAGTTTAGGCGCTAGTGATGTTCACTGACGGACAAAACATCCAGACGGAAGTTTTGAAAAGACCCACTTTGTCGGTGACACGGGATCAATCTCGAAACTTATTTTCTGCAGAATTATATACCTTTCCCTATACTATGTATATTACTCCGTATATACGTAATTACGTCGTTTCTTGTATACCTATTCGGAAAAGAAGAAAATGCAGTTTATGCAATAATTGCGACGATTGTCAACATGTAGAAGTCGAGCAAATTTCCACCAGAGTTCACTACCACTCAAACAGCAACTTCAAAGAGTATCTTTGATAGTCGCGAGAGCGCTCTAGTATCGCCTAGGCGGAAAGGCAGAAATCATTTTTTTGCCATTGACTGTAGTTGATTGTGAATGAGTGTGTTGCCTTTTAGTACCTAAATATTTGCTTTATTACACAAATTGTAAAACTTTTTGTCTAAGCCTGAAGTTCAGGCCCGTCTTGTTCACTTTCGCAACTCTTCATGCAGAGCTGGAATACCAGGATTTTGCATTCACCGCAACCAATCATATCGCGTTCGTCTGGAAGAATTGTGCATCTCCCCGAGGCAAGTGTTTCGCCTTCTATACGGTAGTCATTTCTGGCATGTCAACGAGCTTCTTTTTACTTTCTCCTATACGTATGTATATACGAGTATATAGGTAGTTATGTACTGATGCGGGACATAGATGGTTTTAGATTACAACGGAAATACACGTTTTGGGGTCTCCTGATATCGAAAAAGGTTTTTTCAAAACGTCCGTCCGTCCGTCTGCCTATCTGTTTTCTGTGAACAACACAAGCGCCTAAACTACGAATATGCGAAGGACTTTTTCCAAACTGAATACTGCCCGGTCAATCTGGACTCACTCGAAGTCCTGGCATTGTGAATATTCTTTAATTTTGGGGGATACTTTACATGTCCCTAGGACATTTTCAAAAAATTCTCAAAAATGGATCTAAATGTTTTTTGGAAGACTAAAGTACACTTAAAAAGATGGCATAGATCCATTTGTCACTGTTAACTCTGAACTTTCAAAATTGTTTGAAAGTTTGAAAGTTTTTCTATGTGTTCCTACAACCACAAAAATGAAGATATAAATTTTTCCTTCAAATACAATTTGTTCATTCATTAATGTCATGTGCGTTGTTTTTTCAAAACAGCTAGTAGTTTTTTTGTGTAATTTGTGCTTGAAGTTAATGAAAATTATAAAAATAACATTTTCTCAAAGGCCGCTTCAATTTTTTTCTTTAATTGTTTTCCACAAATACCACTAGGAACGATTAAAACAGAAGCGCAAGTTTTAGTTTCGTTGAACTCAAAGAAGTTTAGAGAACTTCAAAAGTTTTAAATAATGCGAAGCAGTATGTGTTGCATCACTATCTTTTGCTTATTTGCCATGCAGTGGTGACAACTTGATCGTTGGTACATTTAGTCTTAATGATTGTTAGGTCGCCCCAAACAATCCCGTTATTAAAGCATTGTTCTCTAAAAGAAGAACCAATTATATATATAAGGGTACGAGTGAAAAGATGGGCTCTGTAATGTGAAATGTTTCATAGTGATGATTCTCTGTTGGTCAAATATCCATAAACAGATTACTACAGTTTTTGACTTCTTTCTCTCATCTTTGAAGACGATCAGAGATCTACAAAGGATGCGAATTTTGGCGAAAAGAGTAAATATATTCAAGAAAACAACTGTATTTTAAAACGCATACAAATGTGTTTTTAACTTTTAGATTTTATAATAAAATTCAACGGATTAAATTCATCTTCGGCACAGAGTTAAGTGTTACAAGGAAATTGATAATCAGTTACGTAATTGTTTTGTCCTTGAAATATTTGGTTTCCTAAATTTGGTGCTGGCATCTGTACAAGTGTAGGTCGCCAAAATATTTCATAAAACGCAACTTAAGGTGGATTAAAAAATAGTAGTATCCACTCAACCGAAACATTTCTCATGCTCGCATTTTTTCCACCCTAGGCGGGAGACAAAGTATTTTTCACAAACACCTTTTTATCACTTATAAGACCTTTCTGAGTACCTTTTACGAAGTGATCATTTACTCGAAGGGTTATGCATCTAGAAAATGAATGAATGTGTAAAGAGCATCCATCTACTCCTCTCAATATCGCCATCTATTCATCAAAACCAGGTTCAGGCGTGGCCCAAAAGTCCAATGACTGATGACTTATCTTAAAGAGCATGCACCAGCCAACAGTGAATGTACTTACGGTCTCTGCTCAAGCAATAGAAAACTGAAGGAATAACCGGTATGGCAAACAAGAATAGCACTATCAACACTGCCGGAGTGGAGGAGTGGATTTTCCTGAAACAACAATTATTTTTTGAAGTTAAGAAAGCGTGGGAGTAATTATTACAAACACACTCATTACTAACCGTATACTTATTGTAAAGTGTGTGAAGGAATTTGTTTCAAGACGCAACAGATTACCTTCCTGCAAAGGTTCCGACTAATATGTGCCCTTTAAGCACTTTTACTAAATTATGTGCTGTGGAAGAGGGGCGTCCGCGTCTTCTGCTGCCGCGCCGAAGGCATCCAGCAGTTGCTAACAATGTTTCGCTTTCCGTTCATAAATATTTCACTCTTCTATATGAAAACGTTACGCTTCCAAATGCTTGTGTTTTATCTTTAATTAAATAATTTCAAAATGAATGATAACTACTAACTAAGAGGGCCCCTGGGAACACACCGCAAATTGTAATTCAATGTTTTAATAGTGAAAATATCAGTCAAATCAGAAAATATCAGAAAAAATTCAGTCTGGATCCCAAATGCGAACTGCCTGCTCCTGAATTGCACGTCAATTTGAAGCATTACAGATTCGTAAGAACGGGTCTATTGACACGGCAAATTAAATTCACATAGATATCGAGTTTCCGCTCGTTTTGGACCGCACATGCATGCTTTAGAGTTGAGGTATCCAGAGAAGTTAATCCTCCCACAATACGTGAAGAGCGGCTTATTTAGTAAATTTTGCTTAAGAAACAATTCCGACTCGGCTCCACATGCCCTCGCATACTTCCCACTGCATGTTACTCCACATAAAAAGCTTTTAACACATAAAACACTAAAAGCTACATGTTCCCCGCCCGTTTTCTGCATGTTGTACAGAATATTCTCCTGCATGTTCCCAAGTGCTAATCTGAATATTAAACTAAAAAAAATAATTAAGTACTATTTATGGAGAAATAATTATGTAAACTGTACGGAGGCTGATTACGCAATCGCTCGCTTGAGGGATAAAACGGAAGATTCTGAACAACTAGAGTACCTACAAGAGCGGAACACCACAACAATGTATAATAGAAGGGTGCAAAAGCTTCTTTTAAAAATATAGAGGTGCTACAAAGCACATAATTTCTTGCATGATTGAAACTAGATAAGAAATAGATTGTAATTTATGCAATATTAAAAACTGAGTAATAACTTGAAAAGCCTTATTCAATCGAATCATCTCTCGTGCATATCGCATTTATTTCGATTGTCAGGAACAGTAGTCATTTCTTACTTTTATAAATGAAACGAACATGAATAAATTTAAATGTTGCACTATTTACAGAACATAATACATAAAAGTAGAATTAATTTCAAACAAGCCTACCTTAATTGCATCTCAAGCGAGCTTTCAATGTGTTAATATAATAATCAGCTATGAAAACTTTTTGAGGTGCAGAAGCGTGTTTGTTTGTTCTAAAATCAAATTTATTACCTTCCTTCAATCTACTTTCTTTTATAGGAATATTATCTACATCATACAATCATGACCGACAATAATGGAATGAATCGGGAAATATCGGGAATAATGGAATATTAACAGTAAATATCAACGCAACTTCTTAAGAACTACGTTTGTAGTACGCAAGATAGTAAAAATTTCAATTGCAGGCTAGTAAATAAAAGGTAAACATATTACAATACTATTCAATTTACTTGAGCATATGTTCGAAAAGTCTCCATCTCTTACAAACACATTTGAATTTGTGTCTAGAAAGGTTTGTTAATTGCAAGCAGTTTCCTCTTTCGATGCTAAACATGCCCTACAAAGAATCTATACATATCATTTCCTGAAGTTCGATTCTCTTGGCTCACACAGTTTCTGAAGAACGCCTCAAAGAAAAAAAATAATGATAACAAGTCTGAAAAACGTGGAGGCCAGCAAAGCTTTTTATCTCAATTTATTCTGCTGATTTATCCCAAGATCCCTTTAATAATGCTTCATTTATTAAAAAGATCTTACAGAGTTGAAGTAACATAAACAATTTTATTTCAACTATTGTAATACTTATAACAAACAAAAAAAAATACTGAAAGTTGAAAAGCAAAATTCATAAAAATACAAGCTTTACGAAGTCCTGGAATTCTCTTCGTATTTTCAAACATCCAGATCAGCTTTCAAAGTACATTTACGGAACGCGTGATAGCAGTGAACTATCGGACAGTGCGTCGGGCAGTACATTTTTAATTTCCGTAAACCAGAGTCAAGCATTACGCAAATTACGCTTGTCAAACCTTCGGATGTACCCAGGACCAGGATGTACATCAGTGGATTCGTATTTTAACGCCTGTCATGACAGACTAAAAGCATAAGAATAGTTCCATTTGAGAAAATATCACTTCAATATGCAAATGATAAATCAATATTACTTCAATATCTTATAAAATGAAATGAAAAAAAAGGAACGCACACATGTAAATATTAACCCGATTCCTCAAGCACTTCCAATAACTTCAACGTTTAAAAATGACAGAATATGCTAAAGTTACGTGCATCGTGTACTACTCAATTTCTGAAGGAAATTCTTATATGTCATGTGTGAAGAACATGTGTATCGTCGCATTGGAAAGCATTACTTACACGCTACTTATAATAGGGGCCCAGCCTGTCATCCAGTTTGGATCCCGTGTGATCCACAAGGCGACGACGATGATAAACAACACGATCACCCAAATTTCCGCCCAACTCATAGGGCCGAGTTCTGCATGCTTCTCTTGAATGACTGAACGAGCTAAATCTGCTGCTTCCTTAGCTCGCTCCTTGCCCTCTAACTTGTGAAGACGAACCTCCTCGTCCATGCCGGATTTTCTGAGGAAATTGGGGGAAAACGTTCATATCTTTCGGTGTCAAAAGTGTCTTTGTTTAATACTAAGTGGACCATTTCAAACGTTATTCGTCAAGGTCTTGAACTCAACGTTTCGCCATGTAAACCCGGTACAGTGAATCCTGGCATAACTAAAAATTCGAATATTTTTTCTAAGCTTGTGGCCAACAGATAAAGGCGCCCAGAATGTGAAATATCAAATTTACGAATTCGAGATTCTGCTCATCACTATTCAAATCGGGTCACTGAGATAGACTAGGTCTGTAGAATACTTGCGCGTTAGTGAATTTTTTACAGATATCTAATTGTGTATCTTCAACGTACTGGCCACATACCGTTGTTAAGCTGGACTTGATAGAGAGGATAAAATGTACCTGAGTAGTCCGAGGTACTGCCAGGACAACACAACCCACGTGAGCGTGTTCATAATCAGCGTCGGCGGCAACATGGCACCCACCCAATCTGCGAAGTCAACCGCGGGACCTTCGGGGAACTTCCTGTGCAGGCAATCACGTGCACATTTTAGTAATTAATCTACAGGAGAGAGATAGAGCAAAGAGGAATCAATGAAGGGAAGTTTAGGAAAATGACAAAGGATAACTGGAAGAATTTTGATTAAACGCCAATGTTCGAAGATTGCATCTGACAAAAAGAGCACTTTTTCGACGGATTATCTTATTGTGGGGCACTGATACAGAAAAAGTGGATAAATCATGTCCCACTATGTAGTAAATTACTTCCTTTAACACGTTTAGTCAGCTTTCATAATTTGTGGATTCTTGATACCGAAACATTGGTTTACGGCAAAATGTTCGTCCGTCAATGAACAACACTAGCGCCTTAACTATTCATAGGATTTTTTTCCTAAATAAATATTCCTCAGTCGATCTGACCCGACATGAAAATCTATGATTTTGAAAAACATTGTTCAAATTTTGGTGGTACTCTGGGGCACTTTTCAAAATTTTCTCAATACAGCCACACAGTTTAAGATGGCGATTGTTTTTTAAGTGGAATTTGTTCTCCGTATTTAGTTCTTTCATTACGTCACGTACAATTTTTTGAATTTTTTATAGTTTTGAGTAATTTATTGGCAATGAATTAGTTATTTAAGCACCAAAGGCGTTAAACAGGTCTCTGATGATCAAGCGGTGACAAAAACGCATAGGATTTTTGTCGCTCGAGATCATTAAATCAGTTAACACACCAGGTAATTTACTTCTATATAAGACTTTTTTACATATTTTTTATGATTCAGATTGAATTGTTTACTAACTAACTAGAGTAGTGCTTTTCAAACTACTACCGCAACTTCCTTCAGGTAACAAAGTTTATTATTTTATTTTTTATGAATTGTACGAATTAATTTCTATCGAAAATAGTGATTCTTAATGTGAAATTTACTCAATTTCCCAAAACCAATTTTTTAAAATTTTATTTGCCGCGATTTCAAACTTTTAAATGGATTTTAAAATTTTGGAATTTTTTAAAGTAAGTTTTAATTCCGCCGGGAGCATGAAAAAATCTCCAAATGTTGCCGTAAAAATTATCAATCTTCTGGAATTTGTCAGATTTTTCTGATAGGTTTTAATAAAAAATTTAAAAATCTATTTTTGTCACTTTATTTTCGTGTATATACAACTTTATAGAGGTATGTGATTACAATATTATTTTCTAGCAATACTATTTTCAATATTAAGAAGCTAATATCAATAAATAGTTTTGCAATAATATTTTGTTCGCTAGATATAAACTGATATAAGCGAATGGTGAACAATTTTTATTATTTCAATAAAGATTTCTTTTATCAGCTTCTTATTTTGTTACAACACACCACTACACTCAAATTTTCACTTCAATTAGAATCAATTCTCTATAATATCTGTAGAACACAAAATCGCTTAAACTGCCCTCGCGCGCGAAGCAGAGCTACGCCTTGCCGCAACTTACTCTTCGAAAATGCCCTTGAAAGTGAGGTTGGTTCCAGTCCCGATGAGCGTGCCGACGCCGCCAATGGAAGCCGAGTACGCGATTCCTAAGAAGTAGCAGCGCGTCGTCCGCGTGGGGTACGGGTTCCTGCGCAAACAGCCACATCGTCACACTCCACAACGCCAAAGAATACACAAACATTAAAGGCTTCTTCAAGACGCATGGTGTACTACACACAGCACAAACGGTTAACAGTTATAAACTTTGGTAAGTCCCGTAGGAATTCTTCAAAGAAAATGTTAAAGAACTTCACTGTCGAGATTGGTAGCTAAACGTAATATTCGGTAAACGTTATTAATAATTTATTTAAGTAAAGGCCATTTTCATAGCCAAAATTATTTTAATCACGTACAATAAAACGTATACGAAAGTAAGAATACGTTAACAAAATAGATATAAAAAGGTTAAAAGTTTGAGTAAAAGTTAAAATGTAATCTACGTGAAATAACAAGAGAGACTATATTTTGCTGAAAATAATTTATGATACTCGTGAAGGTTGTACTTCATAACTCCTTACAGCTGCAAATTGACAGAGTCCAAATATGGATTATTGGACTGCCACTCAAAATTTAGTGGAAGCCTACCTGCACACTCTCAGGATTGATTTTTTTTCCAGATGCGTTATCTGCTGTGGTCATTAGACAGCGGCTGAAATCGACAGAGCTAGTAACTTACATCTAGCATTAGGCCTTTACCCGACCATGCGTGCTCTTTTCATAGCCGGTCATTTCCGTCGAGCTACCAGGAAGACCGGTTCGTCTGGCCGCATTCCCAGCCCTGGTTAGACTAGTCATATATTGGGCTGCCAAGTTCCAGTCTTCCGACTAACTACTGGGTAGTACTTCTGGTCACCGTTCCTAGGCAGATTGCCCGCACTGGGCTACGAGTTCTGCCTACTCCTTCGGTGGAACTCCTCAACGTATAGCCGTGGAGGTCTCCCCATCAACATGTCCGGGAAGGGAGGCGCTACCACTGGCAGAGCTCTTTAGAGTCACTAGGGCACTCAAGGTCATGCACTTCCCAGGCGGAGGCTTAGCGATCGAGCTTCGACAATCCATAAGACTGGGCTCGAACCCTATGACCTCTCTGTCAGAGACACTGCAGTACATTAATTAGCATTAAAAGTTGCAAAAACATATATCATATATCTACTGTAATTTTTTTCTTTTAATTACTTAATGCTGATAATTTTAATGTATTAAGAGGAGTTTCAATATCTCATAGATATTTATTTTCAATTGATTAATATATTTAAATATTATCGGTAAAAATTAATTAAAAGAGTCAATTACAGTAGATACGCTACTGTAACATATTTTTGAATCACGTGTTATTATTTCGTAGTTATTTCAACGTGTCCTGAGAGTAGCCACCAATGCAAGGTTTTGCTAATTATTAGAAATTTTTACCAGCCGTAATCTCGTAAGAGCGATTATTTTCAGCATCACAAAGCAAACAATTACAGAAGCCCTGAGACTTGTAACAGCGAGTATTGTTGAGTATTATAATATAAAAATTGAGCTAGCCAAAAATATAAATAAATAGAAGTACAATTCCAAAAGGGAATATTAGTATTAGTATTATAATTATTGTAATTGATTAAAGAGGGAAAGTGGGTGGTATTTCAATGGCTGTCCAACTTAGGGCAGAAATAAATTAAAGCGAGAAAAAAAGAGTTTTATATCAAAATTCTACTCAGCTCTCTTTCCTCGTCGTTCCTTGGAGGTATGAAGACAGTTACGAATCTACTCTGCAATCAGAAAACAAAGAACACGTATTTAACATTTTTAATACTAGCTACACACACAGAACTTTTCACTCTATTTTCACTTCCTCGCCCTTACTAATGTAGGAAGAAAATGTATTGAAATCGTGCGCCGGAAAATGGCAAATTTTCGGCACGCTTATTGCCGGGCCCTGGTAACAAACAAGTGAATAAATCCAGTTGCTAAATTTATAAAAAAAATTCTCTAACATGTAGTGTAGCCAGAATTTTGAAAATGTCGGTGGGGCTTCATTTAAAGTGCACCAAAATTTAAAGAATGTTTTTCAAAATCGCAAAGCTTCGAGTCGAGCCAGATAGATAGGGGAATATCCATTTTGGAAAAAATATTACGTGTGGTTTAAGAGCTAGTGGTGTTCACAGACAGGACACACACGTTTTGAAAAGAAAAAAAAATTAACACTTTTTCGGTGTCAAGGACCCACAATTTCTGAAGTCTGATTACAGAACGTGTTAGAGGGAGTAACTTACTACATATAACAGGATTTATCTACGTATTCTGCATCAAGGCCCTACAGTACACAAGTTTTTGTGTCGAAAAATCGCTGTTTTTTGCCACAGCATTACATATCTTTCTCAATACTACTTGTATTACTCCGAATTGACGTATGTATACGAGAAAGTAAAAACATGCGAGAAAATCCAGAAGAAAAGGAATTTTCTGATTTTTTAATTACAAATGGAAATGGAGAGTATCTAAGCCTAAGCCGGGAACCAAAAGGAACTATCGCATTGCATATAGGTATTGAAGTACAAAAAGATATTGTTCTTGAAATTTATGGTAAAGCAGGTTTTCCACCAACTGATATTAGGAGATATTGTAAAACTTCAGTTCTGTGACCTGAAAGTGAACATTGTGATTGGTTACATAAATTATAAAGTAATTGTTCTCCTTCCTGGTAAAGAAAAAATATATTTTCGTGTTAATCATTTAATTACTGAAAATTCTATAGTTCCCTTCAGAATTTCTCAATAGTTTAGAATTAAGTGAATTACCTCCACTTAATCTAAAATTGAAATATGGTTCAATTGTAATGTTTTTAAGAAATATGAATAATAACAAGGCTCGGGGGTAAACATTAGAGAAAGTGGGACTCTGTTTGTCTAAACCTTTCTTTAGTCATAATACTATAAATACTATAAAAATACGATAAAACTATATGTGGCAATGTCTAGGGTACATTCCCTTTAAAACATTAAAATTCAAATATTACCACAAGGAATCAGAGCAATGATCATTGTGTATAAGGAAGTCTTGTAACAATTAAATAGATACAAATTGTGTTTTCAAAACCTGGATTCTATTATAAATTTGCACCATTAAGTTTTCATAGTCATAGAAAGTAACGCTGAAGTTCTTTGAGACTAATGATTAGGGCCACTAAGAGATGAGTATAATTCATCAAACATAATTGATTTTTATTTATACGATTGAATACTCTCTTATTGTTTTTGTCTTTTCTTTTCGAACAAGTTCCTTAAAAATTTTAGAAATAAGTTTCTTTTATTTCATATCCGTTGAATGATTGTTGGAAGAAAATATTTACTTGATATGGAATAAAAGTTTTAAAAGAATCTAAAATTTTTAAGAGAGCGGTTCTAAGAGAAAAGATAATTGATCTTGTGGCGGCATAGTATCCAATCATCCTGCCCAAATATCTGCACAGATGCAAAAATACTCATACGAAGAAAAGATAGTTCCTTCTTCTGTTTAATTAAGAATTTGTTTTGTGGACATTAGTCTGTGCACAATATTTTGCATTTATCTTAGATCTCACCGTCAAATTTTGACTGGTTCCCATTAGTTTCATATTTTAACTCTTACAAAATTGTGTTTATGGGGTTTTTCATTCACAAAGAAAACGAAAAAAACATAGAACAAAACTCATCAATGTTAATAATACTTCGGCATTAATATATTGATGTTTAAAACTTCGATGTTTGTACAGAAATATTGGAATAATTTAGTAACACCATACTTGCGTTAAGACCAATATCAAAAATATAAACTGCAAAGTGCTAGAGGTCCATTTGTTGACTTGTAACCATACATTACCCCTTCAAGTTCTTGTAGCACCGCTAGCACGACCGGGGCCATCATAGCCGTCGCTGCCGTGTTGATAATCCACATGGACACAAACATCGTCACAGTCATGAATCCAAAGGTTAACCTGTTGTGAACACATGAATGGTGGTGAATCCAAACTTTAACCTGTGGTTCATCTCCCGTCTTATCACTACACTTTTTGAAAGTTCTACAAGCTCTAAAAGGGCGTCAGTTCTGTGAGTGTGAGAGTTACAGAGCATAAAGGACTAGCATTCAAAAGAACGATATCTCATGCATAATTGAGTTTCAAAGGCACATTTTGGGACGCCGTAGGATATACTTAGAAGGCATGCACTTAAGATTGGGAGAATACGAGTATGTCTCCAAATTGATTGATGTTTCCGGACACGTCGACTGCTGTGGTCACTACTCCCGTTCGTGCAGTAATATTTTATCGCGAGAGGTAACGGTGTTTCTTTCCCGTGAGATCCGCTGCCGAACTACAGGCCGACTTGCGGGGTTTTATTCAACCAGGTATCTCTTAGTGCGGCACCGCCCCCGCTGGGACAAGCTGTAATTTTCCGACTGGACTTCCGACATATTTAAGAGTGTAGTGCAAATTGTGTGTGGTTAGGGGAGAGGTAGGACAAGGTAAAGGAAAGAAAGAAAGAAAGAAAAAGAAAGAAAGATAGCGCGCGGTCCGTGGCCCATTTACTACGGTACTACTCCCGCATTCCCCTGGTGTCGCACTAAGAAACCACATCAAACTACAGATCGTAGTAGCCGGCTGCTCCAATTCTCTTCCGGCGACTGAATTCGATCCTGCTATGAATAGTTAGGGTTGAAAATCGCCACCGCCGGAACTCGAACCCTTGGACCTCCTGGTCAGAGCTGCTGCAGAGATATTTTTTCACTGAAATAGATAAATAAACTGCTTGTTAGAAGGAAAATGGGAAAAGAACAAGGGATAAAAGTAGAGGGAAAACTTTAACGAAGGAAACAAGGAATTCTACGCCTGGAAGCATCATCTGAAAGATGAAGATATAAAAAATTAACCAGTTTAATGTTAATTTAGATAGATGTATATCTTTATTATATAAATGGGTATGTCTTAAAACATTTTTGTTCGCTCACTCTCTAAGAAATGCTTAAAAAACCCTTTGGTTCAGAACAAAAACATTTTACTTAAATGTTTAACCCTATACGCTCGTCACAAATTTAATTAAAGTGAATAATAGATTAAAACGAAAACAGCCGAATAAATTTATTAAACAAGACAAGGCTCATTTGAATATTTTGGCTTAGTAAACTACTGAAAAAAGATAAATACTGATTTAGTGAAATTGATAAAATAGACAAAAACAAAAAACGGCTGAAAAACAAAGTATTGTGGCGAGAGAGAGAGAAAGAGAAAGAGAAAGAGAGAGAGAGAGAAAAAGAGAAAGAGAGAGAGAGAGAAAGAGAGAAAGAGAGAGAGAGAGAAAGAGAAAGAGAGAAAGAAAGAGAAAGAGAGAAAGAAAGAGAAAGAGAGAAAGAAAGAGAAAGAGAGAAAAAGAGAGAGAGAAAAAGAGAGAGAGAAAAAGAGAGAGAGAAAGAGAGAGAGAGAAAGAGAGAGAGAGAGAGAGAGAGAGAGAGAGAGAGAGAGAGAGAGCACGACGAAGAGTGGTAGAGAAGGGTTACACGTGCCGACCGGATGACGACGAATGGCACTGAGGCGGAAGCCCCACACCAAGGGAGCAGAAGTCGCCAAAACGGAAAGTGAAGTATGGCTTTTGAAAGTAAATAAAAACAATTTGGCCAAGACTGATAAGTTTAAAAAACGGAGATTGAGTGAGATTTTGATTTTTTGGGGTAATAATTTGGTCGAGTTCCGCCTTGGGCATGGGTGTATTTGTGTTTGTATGTGTGTGCCCTCCTCTCACTCTTTCTATTATCATCATTTCATCTTCCATACCCCCAAGGCTAACAACCTGGAGAATAAAAATCGGATCAGCTAAATGCTGATACCCTGATAAAAGTTACATGCACCTGCCACCGAGATGTTTCTGATCCCCGCTAAATGCAGGGTTAATGGACGCGTGGTCCAAGTTGGCCTATCGCGAGCAATAATAATAATAATAATAATAATAATAATAATAATAATAATAATAATAGTATTTGAATTACAAAAGTGCAAAATAGCTTTTTTTTCTGAATTATGAAACAATTTACACAAGACTTCAGAATTTTCTCAATAACTTCCGCATTTAATGGTACTTCGTGAAACATCAATATGACTTTCACCTTGTTCTTGTGTTGTGGAGAATCAATGAATTCAGGTAGTGTCTTCCGTGACACGCCCTATTTGAGACTGCAGAATGACGATGAGGATTTGAGAGAAATGTTGCTGAAGAATTTTTTCAGACATACCATGGCTATATAAAAATGTAATATTTACTTTTGTTAGTGATTACCTCAGGTGAGTCGTTCCGATGATAAGAATTGTCTTCAGCGCAATGCGGCGATGCAGATTGCTACTTTCAATAGCGAATGCTAGTACGATTGAACACATAAACATCATCGTCGTGTCGTTAATATATGTGGCGCAAGTAGCCTTCGTAGGGTAGATCCCCAAAATCGGAAACATAGCAATCGGTATGAGTCCTGTTACTCCCAACGGCAGAACTTCACACACCCAATAAATGGCCATTATCATCACCACGAACAAGCACCTGAACTCCTAGAACAGTGTTAAGACATTTAGCAAATTATCATTTCGCGCGTCTAAAGTTAAAACTGCTTTAATTCGTATTTGCCTTCTAAGCATCATTCACGACTTAACATTTAGTGCTTATGTCGCTTATTTGGGCTTCGTGTGCTATGTGTGGAGGAGAAGCAAACCTCTCCGCCATCAGAGGCAGTGGCGGACGGTGGGTTCAGATCTTTAGGAGGAAGCCCAGACAATATCAGGCATTGAATCATATTATAAAATTGAGAGTCAATGATCTTTGGTTTACTGGAAAACTGTTCGTCACATTCCAAATAAAATAATTAGAATTAATATTTCACTTCTTTTAGGATCGCTTCACAAAAACGGCACTTCCAATAAAGAGGTCATTGTGTCCACTGAAATACCTGTACTGCCACACAATGAACAATGAATCCACTGAACACCCACTGCCTATGACCGCAACACGCCTCCAGAGGAGGAGGCTAGAGGTGCGAGAGCCTCCGCGCCAAACTATCTCCGAAGCTGAACGAAACGAAGCTATTGCAATTCATTGGCAAGTTCAATGCCAGATACTGTAAGGACGTATTTGAACAAAGCTAGGCATGAAAAAAATTTCAACATATGAAAATACTTTTAAAACAGTTTACAGAGTCGGCAACGCCCTATTCAACTAGTATACAGAAAATGATATCCTCTAACACTAGTGTCGTGAATCCACTAGTTTTGGGGGTCCTTGATAACGAAAAATTGACGGCAAAACGTCTATCTGCCCGTCTGTGGTAAACGGTAGCGCCTCAACCGTTCAGCCGATTTTCTCCAAACTTGATATTGAAAACGCTGAAACCCGATCGATTGAACGTCATGGCCCTGGTAACATCACTTTAGCACGTACATAGCAAACATATATGGGTCATTTTTACATTTTCTATTCATGTTAATTGATGGAATTTATACAATAGTTACAACAATTGCATGACATATACTATAGTCAAGTAATTATAACAATCTATTTAAAAAAGAAAAAAAATCGCATTAGCATTAAAATATAGAATTAAAATCGGTACACGGGATTGGTCAATGTGGTTAGAGAAACAATTAGTTACGCCAACGTTTCGAAATATATAATTTCTTCATCAGGGCTACAGTGTAAACAATGAATAGTGCATGAGGACAACATACATTACAATGAATTGATTGTTGAATAATTATCACAAATAAAACAAACACAAAATAAAATGATAAACTAAGATAAATAAAACACCAAAAATGTGTAGGAAGTACACACCTTACTAATAATCACACAGATAACGTCTCATTTCAAGCCTTCACACCCAATTCCACACGAAGTTGGAGCACTTGGGTCCATCGCGAGAAAGTTGTGAGTAGACTCACAACTGTCTCACGATGGACCCACGTAGTCCAGCAACTTTTTACGATTTAATGTTATTGAATGGCATAATGATTATAAATACCATTAAATATTTTTACATGTAACATGAAATCTTAATTACATGTACTTCATAATACGATAGAAAATACATTCATATTAAATTATTTTTCGTTTAGAAAAAAAAAGTTCTACAATCAAAATTGAGTTCACAAATTGGAACCAATAATGCTGCGTGTGACAGGTGTAGGATTTTATTTTGATGTTTTCGTTATCATACCAAGTGGTGTTTCTAACCTCCCTACCATTCGTGAGACGTGGAAACGTGGTCTCACTCTTCCTGTATCTTGAACAGGAATAGTCTTCTGATTGGAGGCAAAGGGCCACGAAGGAAATTCATTGGTAAGCTATTGCGTATCGTATCTGATTCAGCCAATGAGTTTCAGGTACCAATTTGCGTCGCAATGTTAGCGGGAATTTTAAGTTGCCAGGGACCAAATGATCGCCGTGGTACAGGTCATTGAAACAGATATACGAAGCAGTATTTTTTAACGCATCTTTTATTTCAATTTCACCTTCTACATTTTATCTCCTATCTCTTCGTTATTTCACCTTCTACTTAACTTCTCGTCAACATTGAACGATTGTACATTTATTAGAAATAGTTGCGATAGTTATCAATGCTGCAAAATGAGAGCGATTCTTGAGAAATGTAAACGATCTCTCGCAAAAACGCAACTTTTCTAATTACAAGATCTAGTGCACATTTGCAAACAGTGAAAATTTATTTTTGTGCCGCACGATGTGATAGCAATTTATATTTCACCTATTTTTGAATGAGTTTTGTTTTGAATCACACACTCTTGTGTCAAACGTGACCAGATGACCTGCCCAGACCAGGGGCGAGGTAGTAGGTGAAATTCTCTCTTGAAATGGTACATGTGATTGGACGTTAGTGTGACAATGCAATACTAGTATTAATGCCTGCTTAACCTCGGAAGTGTATCTTAAGATAAAAACGTGTTACTTTATTCACATATTATACACGCGCGATATTTTAAGCCAAATTCACACTTAAGGAACTTACCTTCCCGGTGTCATATATAAAAATCAGAGCACATAAAAGTGGCCAGACTACTAAAACAACCAAACGCCAATGAATCTTCAATCCTTCGAGGCAAAGTTTTCCTTTACTGGGCTCAGTCGGGGCACCCTCCATTTTTTAAATTCTTCTTATAGGAGATTTCAATTATGCTACGTATACATCCCGTTTATTACTACTGAAGGCAATTCAGACTGCATCGTGGAAGGTTGTGATACATGCAAGATGTGACAGTATTTTACGGCTCCATAAATCAAAGTAGGAAACCAGGTTCATTTGAACAATCACAACTTCCTTAACATATTTTCTTCTCAGGTCATGTCGTTTTCTCAGATACATACAAACACAATTCGTACGTCGAGCTAGAGCAATCAATATTATTTCGGAAAACAACGACCATGGCCAACTAGAAATGTTATTATTCCACATCATAATCCAAAAGCTGCAAAGATAACATGTCTTTGAAACTTTGGTTACATCAATCTAAACTCAGTTTAGTTTTAGTTTTATAACACAGTTTAGAACTACATCTTATATGCATTTTCACAACATATTTATTTCTTCGTTATTTGTGTAACTAGATATAGTACGTAGATTCTCACATGGATATTTTCTCTTCGTCCTGCTTTCAACGGGGTTAAAACATTACAGCGTACACGATTGATTGATTTAGCTTTTTATGATCTTATCAACTGCGGTTACCTTTGGCATCCAAGCGGTTTTAAAACCATTTTGTAAATAAGACAAAAGGGGAAGACTGTTTACTAAGAATGAAATGTATAAAACAATAAAATACGTTCTCCTAGTTCATACGTGAATAGCCGGCGCCTTCCTGTGTGTGTGACCCTTTTGAACGTTGAATGAACGATGAATAAAATCTTATCAATGGTAATAGTGTGGGATTCCATTTGGAAGTAGAAAGAGAAATATTTAATGTCCAGTTGTAAATGATCAAGTCTCTTAGCGGGAAAAAATATTTGCTGCTTGAAAACACATTTTGCATTTAGAAACAATGCGAGAAAGTATGCGCTTTGGTAAACCCAACAGTTTATTGTTGTCCTTATGTGTGTACGTACCGTCACTACACATATTCGAGGGCAATTTAAAAAGCAACAGCAAACTATTAATTTTAAATGCAATTAACATGTCAGGCGTTTCAAACTCCCGGGAAGTGAAGGTGCATGCTTTAAGAAAGTTCTGGTACGTGCAGACATATGGAATGACAAGCTGAAGAGGAATGTCCGCTGAAACAAAATGGCTGCGTCACTAGCTGTGTGCACCGTGGTAGAACAGCGAGCAGTAATACGATTTTTGTCGCCGGAGGGCGTAAAACCTCGACAAATCCATAGAAGGATGTTGGAAATGTATGGAGATAGAAGTATTAGTGGGAGTAGAGCGTACGAGTGGGTGCTTGTAAAAGTGAACTTACGTCAGTCACAGTTGAGTAGCGCACTGGTCGTCCCAGTACGGCCGTTGCTGACGTGAATGTGGGAAGCGCTGACGCCATGATTCGTAGCCATGGAACTGAGAATAAGTGTCAGATTCGCTTGTATCATTACTAGTGTGGTTCTGAAGAACTGTTTTTTTGTGAACACGATGGGGCCTAGGTTGCTCACTGATGAGCACAATATGATGCGTGTTCAGGCTGCCACACCATTTTTGGCGCGATATAAGACTTTCTGACACATCGTCACAGGAGACGAAACCTGGGTGTATCACTTTGAACTACAGTCAAAGACAGTCTCCAAATTTGACGACACATCTCCAGCCAAGAACAAATTCAAGTCTCAGCCCTCTGCCGGAAACGTTAATTTCCCCCTCTTTTGGGATATAAACGGGCCAGCACCATCAGCGAAGGGGCGAAACTGTGAACAGGGCTCGGTACGGCGCCATGGAGAATGAACGACAGCTAGCAATACAGAGCCGTTGCTGAGGACATTTTATCCTTCACGACAACGCGCGCCGTCAAACCGCCGCTGCAACTCTTGCCGATATTCGGAGATTGAGATTTCAGGCGTTACAGCATCCTCATACATCCCTGATCTCGCTCCTTCGGATCACCATGTGCTTGTATCCTTGATGGGCACTCTCAGAGGACGATTCGAAAGAGATGAGGTTAAAGAAACGGTGCACTCTTAGTTGCGGGCACAAACCGAAAATCTTTCATTCAAATGGAATAGGATATGTATATCGCAGTCTAAAAGAATTTTAAGTCTCACTCATCCGTGTTGACCCATTCTAGCAAGATTATTAAAAAATAATACAACGCACGCGCGCACACACTCATACACTGCGCGTGTGCGTGCGTGTCCCGATGCACTCTAGTATGATAGTTATGTACCTCTTTATTACGCAATATATTTAATAAAGACATCTTTACAGGACTGTCTTGGATTCAGTTTGAAAATGCTTCTGATACATTTCTTTTGTAGGACCATTAATCTATCCACATTTTTTGTTATACCTCCCCATATTTCAATACCATATTGAGTTGTGAGAAGAATATGCATTATGCATATGAAGAAGTGCATTTGCTTCCAGGTATCTAGAAAAGTATCTCAAGAGGAATATGTTGAAGTTTATTTTATTACGAAGTGTGTTGACTTGTTTATTATAAGTTAGGTTTAGATCTATGAATATTCCTAGAAACATATGACAATCTGTTTGAGTTACTGATTCATTGTCTACTTCCAATTTAATGTTCAGATTTCTTTCAAATTCAGTCAGCTTCCACACTGCTCGTTGTGAATATTTCGCGAATG